CTAGTGGTTGTATAGGTACGTAATGTATATATGTCTTTGTGTAAACTGTTAGGAATGTGTGCTGTTTATAAGAAAATGCTTTTCAAAACGTCTCTATTAATTGGCTGCTTTTATTTTTACAGCATACACAGCTCAGGCAGAGGAGAAGACAGGCCCTGGTACTCCTACAGATGCTCACGCCAGAGCCTTATTGGTTTGCAATGGACCTTTAGAACATTATGACTTTTTGATTAAGCAAGAAGAGCTGAAGAATGATGAGCAACAAAGAAGAGTTGTGCAGCACCTGCAGAAGTTGCACGAGAGCCTTAAAGGCTACAGCATTGATTCAAAAAATCTTCTCTCAAAGGTGAGGCTTATAGTGATAAAAATGGGTTTTTTGCATTTATGTTTGCTCGTAAGAATGTACTTAAAATACGTAAGTCTCTGTCATTAGCCTGAATCTTGTTTTTGCAGATGGGTCTTTGCAGAAACATCATTCTTCGTACTTTATAAATCCGGTGGCCCTCTAGAAGTAACCAAATTAAATATTATTGAAATAATTCTACAAGAAAATCTGTTATGATTTTAGTTATGTCCGCTGTCTGCCTTTCCAAAATGTTATTTGGCTGTAGGAGAGAGAGGCCTAATCCGGGTTTTAGTTCTCAAGCACAGATATTATACTTGTGTGTTGGTATTACATTAACTGAACACTGACATTTTGTGTTTTAACAGATCTTTCATGAATAATTTTCACATGATATTATAAATCAGTTATGACTTTAAAAAATTTTTTTCCCATGTTGTTGTCTCTGGGTGAGGTGACAAAGAAGGCAGAGGTGTGATTTGTGCCCTGGTTGAGTTCTGGAGGGGTATCACAGCTTCTTTTCAATGGATCAACAAAAGTTCAGATGTATCCCTGTTGCACAGCATCTTGGCAATCATAGTCCCTTAGCATTAGTAATGCTGTTAGCCGGCTATTGCATCTCTGCAACTTTTCCTTGAAGCTCTTCACACAGTGTTTTCCAGAGTCTCTTTGGCAGTATTCCATATCTTGTTCTCATGCTGTTCTCAGGTTGTTGCCCTTGTGGCTTGCACCTGCAAATATTGATAGCATTGTTAAGGCAGGCTCTTATGGGAAGCAACTAGAACTGGTGTGAGAATTCCCCCCTCAGCTTTCCTTGCCCCTCATTTTGTAGAATTGAGTTTATATCCGAGAAAACCAAACTTAATGCCCACCAAAGTAGGTAAGACATTTAATTACTTGGTAAATATTAGGCCATCGTAGATGTACACAGGATCTGAACAACCAGTGAATATGCTTTACTTGCACCTGATTAGCGTACTGGTGTCAGCACAAATAGTCATAAGCTATGGTGAGGGGAAACAAGAACTGAGTGTTTGACTGAGTCTGATAATAAAAGTATAGTGCTGGGAAAAAAGCACGGCAAAATACACATTGCCTTCATCATCTGCACTCTCCCTGCCTGCACTGGAGAGACACCCTGCCCCTAGGAGGAGGAAAACTGTTATTGCTCTTCCCAGCCAACCTCTGAGTGTTTTTCTTGTGCTTTCTCTGTTTCTCTTGCACCACTTTAAGTTTTATTTTTTGTCAGAAGTAACTGTCACATTTACAGTCAGTGTTTGCCATCATCTGCAGTCCTTGCTGACAAAGCTCCATGTCAACCTTTCTCAGCATTCGTTACACAACATGCCTCCTCTCATGGGCGTAAATCTAAATATGTAACTCTATTGAACTTCTTACCTAATCATATACTTCCTATTACAACCCCAAATTCTCCTGTTACCTGTCACAAATACTGTATATTTTTTTTTGCTTGGCAAGCTCAGATGATGTAGCATGGGATCAGGGGAGCCAAAGCCTGCAAGGCTTAAGTGACTTAAAATGGCACACTGTCCTCTGGCCTTTAGGCACTAAATGACAGGTTACCACTTAAAGGCTCTTGCAATGAATATTAAGCTTCAAGGTGTGAAAAAAAGTAGAGAAGAGAGCAGGTATTATACCTGTAGATGGGCCTGTTTAGTATATATATTAGCATAGCAGGGTGCAGAGCATTGGGACATGCTTGCCTGCGATCTGCCTCTAACATCGCTTGAATGCCTGAAACTCAGATATGTAGCTGCAGATCATAGATTTGCTCATCATATGGTTGACTGAAAATGCCTCCTGATGGAAGGAAGGAGACTAAACACCTAGGAAGGACCTCTTATTTTAGAAGAAACCTGAATGGGAAATAGTTCCATGGAGCAACAGTCAGGCGCTCTGGAAGAAAAAAACGTGGAAAGTACAGGAAGCAAAGTCCTAAGGCAAGACTATTCCTAAAGGGCAGTGAGTGTGTCTTTGGAAGGTCTATTGTGGAAGCATCATCCTTATGGGTCCCTTTTAACCAGAGATATTCTGTGACCCAACTTAAACAGAGGGCTTGGCCATATGATCCCCTGAAAACCCTGACAACCCAAATCATTCAATGATTCTAACTCTGATGTGGGAATTGGAGCCAAACTGTGGTTTGGAGTATATTTTTGCCTGCCCTGGCAGATGAGTCATTTCATCACATTACTTACCTTTTTACTTCTGGGATTTCTTTAATTACTATTATTAGAAAAATAAAACCAGTGTAAAAATGATAGATGTAGGTTGAAAACTGCATGTTTATGGTATTTTAAAACACTTACTAATGTTGTATGTGGGTGTGTGCCTGTAGATTCATGTTGTCTTGATGCATTTGTGGGCTAACTCTTGAGTCTAAATCAGTCTCCTGATGCAATTTGGGCAAGTATCAAATGAAAAATAGAAAATTCCTCTTTGAAAAATGGTTATTTCTTATCTTTGGTATCCAGAGCAATACAGCAGCGTGCCTGAATGCAAACCTCTTTTGCTTAAGTGTAAGGAGATTAAGCTGGAATCAGCTTGCCAAACTATTCTCTAAGTGGAATCTCGCTGACCAGATTTGTATCTTGAGAATTGTTGATGTGAAAAGTTCTTGGGTTTGGGGTTTGTTTTTCTTTTTCATCTATCTGGACTTCTTTTTAATCTTTGGTGTTAGACTTATAATCTTTTAATTTGCTTATCTCAAAACTGTGTTATTGTACCTGAACTGTAAAAGAAGTCACACGAAAGGGAACCAGTTATCAGGCTTACTCCTGTATTATTTTTGGACATACTCCCAGACTTTTATTCATTTTCATATTCTAGAAAAAATGTTATGATGAAGGCATTAGTCTTACTGTCAAACCTGAGGATCAGTAGGCTAAAGCATTTTGATCTTTACTGGAAAACAGTTTCGGACATTTGGATATTAGGTTCTGAAAGTGCTGCCTTTGAGAACAGTTTTGAGAGCTGACTTGTGTTAACTGGAGGGCCCTGAATCACTGTTAGATTAGGTGCTTTATACTGACTTGTAGATCAGCCATTGTGTGGGTTATTTAATGATTCTTTGGGAATCATGAATAAGGAAGAAAGTCTGTATTGCAGAGAACAAATACTAATCTTATTTTATTTAAGGAAATGTAATGCTACTTTTTCCCCTATGTAACAGAGCTAATCGCAGTATAACCAGACTGACTGACACTTTCTTAAAAGGAAAAGGTCAAATGCCACTTTATAATTTGAGAATGTGTTTTTTCATTAGTTCATTTAAAGCACTCCATGTCTTTATTTAACATTGCTTCAATTCTATGCTTTAATTTTAAAACAACTTTTAAAAATTGTTGCGTGGCTCATTGGTGGAACTAATGCTACAGTCAGTGAGAGGCAGCTGTAGAACTACTTGCTATTGGGGTGTTGTTGTAGTTTTTTCTTCTAGAGCTTGATATTTCTATGGAAATGTCAAGACTGATAATCAAGGTTGAGCACTGTAGTGCCATGCCATGCATCAAAACTCCAGAAAAGAAGGAAAGCAGTGAATTTTGTGTAAATCTGTTAAAGCCTGGCTTGTGTAATTAAATCAAGTCATGATTCAGGCTGAAGAAGTCACAACAGCTTTGTTTCTGTTCTGTTATCTTTGAGGATGTTATTTGCCAGTTCAAACACAGCTCCTTTTGAGATAAAATGAAACCAAATAGATTATGGATTAAATTCTAGTACAGGCAAGGTTTTGCTTCAGCAAAGTTATAATCAACATCCTTAATAAAGGTTTTCCCCAGAATAACTCACAACTGTGACGAGGTAGTTGCTAAAATCATATGCTTGTCATATGTCTGCATCTGTTGAGGACTTTCCTAAGTAAGCAAAATACCTGTTTTTCTATTGTGGACTTCCAGAGTAGGGATGCCATTGCAGATTTGGTTCAGGCTTAGAGGGTAGAACTAAGCCTTTCGTGCCAAGAAGAGGTGATGGTGAGTACTGCTGCCTGGAACTGGCCTGGGTTGAATAGGATTTGTGTAGATTTATGAGTGGAATTTGTTCACATAACTAGTAGAAGGCATCTCCATGGAGTACTAGTGATACAGAGCACAGGTAGACCCCGTATTTGTGAATAGCTTGTTGGCACTCTCCTCTCATGAGGGCCTGGTACTTTGGTAACTTTGAATATGCTAGGAGGTAAAAGATAAGCCTTACGTTTTTGTGATAGAACAGTTGGCTTCACTTTTTGTTTTGTACTTAATGGGCTTTAATAGATGTAAATGAAAAAAATGGTTGTACTTTAAATTAAGGATTTACTTTAAAAAAATCAAATACTTTATCCGTTATACTTAGTATCTTGTAGATTGATGTTTCACTTTTTCAGGAGGTTTTTGGCAACTTGACTAGCCTACCTTTAGTATGAAATCTCCTGTGTTGAGAAGAGATTTATCTACTGGCAGCTTTTTAGATATAAAAAAATAGTGGTGCTTGGCATTTCAAGTGTACTAATTTTCCTGACTCTGTCGTTGAAGAGAATGTGGTTGAGAGGCTGCATTTAAGAAAAGGGGGTGGTGAAAGAGAAGCATCTCTCAGCCTCTTCTGTAGTCTGATCTTTCTTATTTTATTGCCTGATTGCTTCTGTGATAGAATTGCAAAAGCCTCTCCCAAAATAGCAGTTATTCCAGAAATAGAAACTTTGCACCCATGACAAGAATGGTCTGCTTTGGTTTTCATTTTGTTCTTCTTTTGTCACTTTTTGTCTAAATAGTTTTATTCACTAAAATATGGTAAAAGTAGGATTAGGGAGCAAATATTTGTATCAGATACAATAGAGAAGCATTTCAGTGTTCGTAGAAGGGACTTATATTACCTCACAGGCCAAAGCTTTCTGAAATGAGTAGTTTGGGGCACCAGCCTTTTTCTTCATGGTAATAAAACTCTTTTTTTTTTTTTTTTTTTTTGTAATGTAGTTTTTTTGGGGCATCATCTTAGAAGAGATCTCAGGGGAAAAAACAATTAGTCTTGCTGCCAACTAAGTAGGCTTCTGTTTTTCAAAACTGTTGCTCAAAATTGAGCTAGGACTTTGATCTTCAACTTTGTGAAGGCATGGCCTTGTATGTTGAGATACTTTGAGATCCTCTGAATTGAAGTTCAAGGCTATAAGAGTTTGCACAGACATTTCAGATCTCTAGCTTTTCAAAATAATACCAGTTGGGACTTCTTAAGAGTTGTTGAGTTGCTGTACTAACGACTTGAAATAAGCTCAATTGTAAGTGAGGTCATGTTTTGAAAAGAGGTATGAACAATAGTAAACACCATTCAAGACCTTGAAAATGTCTTCAGCTACAAGAGCAGCCGAAAAGGAACCTGAAAGAGTGGGAGAAAGAGGCGGTTTTGTTAGCATTTAAGGGAGACTTGTCTCTTGGATTTTGCATATTTTAATTAACCACCTTAGTAGCCTAGCCATCTTACAAGTTTTTCAAATCAGAGTATAAATATTCCAAGGAAATGAGTTGCTTGCTTCTAGTGTTTGAGTGTGGGAGAACCTGGAAAGACATTGCATGTTATTGAAGTTATTTAAGAAAGAATAAGAAGTTGTCAGAATGAAGGAGATGTTTTGATCAATTTAATTCCTTAGATGAGGTAGGGTATTGTATGATTGATAGTGAAGTTTACGCAAAGAAAAAAATCTGATCTAATAGGATCAAAGCAAGGCTTGCAGTTTTGAAACAGAAATGTGTAAAATGGGGCTTTGAGCAATCTGGTCTTGTGGAAGGTATCCCTTGCCCATGGCCTGGGGTTGGAACTAAGTGATCTTTAAGGTCCCTTCCAACCGAAACCATTCTGTGATTCTATGAAAACATTTTGATAACACAGAAGAGAATTCTGTAATCTAGGGATACTCATGTTTGTATCATCTTCGGGAAGTTTAAATATTTTTAAGATATGAATGATTTTCAAATTAAAATCTGTAAGTAGACTATCTATTAAAAGAAAAGGCTTCTGTTCTAGCATGTCCTGATGATAATGAAACTCTATGAAGCACTGAATTTATGCTTTCTTAAGTTATTGCAAAGAATGTTGTGGCAGTTAAGAAACTCGGAGGACTCAAGCAATTTGACACATTTGTGGTGATGCCCTTGTTTGAAAGGGTTTGGGGAGCCTTTAAAACTTACATATAAGCATTTCAAAATTTTCCCCTTCATACTCAAATTTGGTGCATCACTTACTATCTCTGAGTTAGTATATTCTAAATATTAGCTTTAACATCCCTAAATCTTACCATTGTTGCAAAAGAAAATGTACTGTCAACAAATTGAACATTATTATACCGAGAGACCAAATATTTGTCAGGGTGATATGGGAATGAGGAGCGAGGAGAAGCTCATGCATTTAGTTTGTCTTCCTACATTTCCTACTTCTCTCTCTTCCCTCTGTGAAATAAACTAGACTGTCCTTATTTTTGGGTAACTGGAGGATCTTTTGCATTAGTTCTCCCTCCTCCTTTTTTCAGAGTGTGTTTGAATAGAGAAGCAAGATCAGTCTTCTGCTTTCTTTGCTGTCATATATCATTGACTTTCCTGACTGCTTGCTGTGCTTTAAATTAAGAGCATTGATGAGATTTTGTCAGAAATCCTAGCTGGAAGTTGCTCTTTTTCTTACACAACTTCTAGAAGATTAAATTATTAAAATAATTAAATTATTAAAATAATTTAAAAAAAAGGAAAAATCCATTTTATGATTATGCAGAATAACTTGAGATTGGTAGGATGTCTGAGTTTTCAGTATTAAAGATCTACTAATCAAGTTTACTTTCTAAAAATAAAATATATTTCAAGGAAAAAAAAACCCAACCAAATCAACAAAACAACCCAAGAATATAAAAATAAATTCTTAGCATTATACAGTACCTGACAGGATCAAGAAAGTGTTTATCCTGAAGCTGCCAATAGTGTCACTTTTGGCAGAAGTATATGTAAAATGTTTCTGACAAACTTCTATAATTGCTCAAAGAGGACAAAAGGTTTTCTGGCATTTGATTAGCTTTTAGAGATGACCAACTTCAGCAGATGTGTTTGGATCTGCCACAGTACCCATTCCTTTCAGCAATTAAATATCACTCAAAAATTGCTTTCTTCACAGGGAAGCTAATTTCATTTTTTAAATCAATCAGAAATTGATTTAGACTTTTATGGAGCCTGAGCCATTATATTTATTTCCTTTAGTCAAAATGCCTTTTTTCTGTAACATATTTTCCAGAAATAAATATGCCTAAAAGGACAAATATTAAGATGGTTAAATGTAATTAATAAAAAATTTGCAGTGAAAAAAATGTTTTAAAATGTAGACATTAATACTTGTTCTAGTTATATAACCTTTACAAAGACAAGTGAAGCTGTACTCTAAACATTTATTTTTCTAGCTTGGTGTCATTCCTTGTGAAAGTACAAATCAGACTGATACAACCCTTCTGTGAAATAAATTGAATGTGATAATCTTTTGTCTTGAGAGAATGACTGTAGTTAATATCAAATTAAAACCAAAGAAATTGTTATGAATGTCTTTCCTTTGGATTTTTTTCCGTTCCTCCTTTCTTTGCTGTGTAACTTTGAGCATCAGTAGTTTTACTGAGTGCAGGCTCTTAAAAAGTACACAATTGAAAATATTCAGCAGTTAAATTGTCTTGCAGTGCTTTGAAAGCACTAGCAAATAGTTTCAGCCTTATCTATTAATGGAATGGTTTCAGAACATCTGAAACTCTGTTGAACCACAGATTGATGATACAAATTTTTGATTACCCTATTGATATAGCTTAAATGAAATTGGAAAGGGGATCTTATGTAAGAGCCATGCTTGGATATTTTCTGAATGAAATGGTACTCCAGAGCTGAGATGTTAGCCTTCTACCTTTTGGTCATGAATTTTCTTTCCTGTTCAATTAGTGTCTTGCTGCTGACTCCTCTATTTCTTTAACATGGCACTGTATTTTGAAGAAGTGCTTTAGATTCAACTTGTTTAGCAATTACCCAGCTCCAAAGGAGACCCCTGGGTTGCAATTTTAATATTCTCTTGTGTTGCCTCAACCCACAGAGCTCTGAAAGTGGAGCCCTTTAAAATAACCACTCTTACGCAGTGTTTTTGTGGATGTCAGCTGAGTTTCATGGATTCGATAGAATTTTTGTTAAGATCTCTATTTTTTTAGAAACTGTTTCTTTTTAGAATTATACTTGGAAGGGGCTCTGCACAGTACTGGAGGGGGAGAGGGCTATTTAAAATGGAAAGTTTGGTGTTATTGGAAGTTTTTCCATATGTATTTGAGTAAAATAGAATAAACCATCAGGTGTCATAATATGTCCTGAATAATATTAAGAAATCTAAAGTTTTTAAGCAGTGCTTGTTCCAGATAAAAGTAACTCACTTGAAAAAATGAATAGTAAAAAGCCTACTTTTGAAAATATTTTTAATATTTTAATATATTTATGCATATACACACACATGCACGTGTATGTAGGTACATATTTTTACTGTGTCTCCATTTATTTTAATAATGTTTAAACCAGAGATGATTCTGCATTTAAGATTCAAGGCTGAGAGAAAGAGGTCTTACAATGCTCACTGGCTTTGCAATACTGATTTTATAAATCCTGTTAGTTCATATCTTTAGCAGAACTGCTCTAATAGGTGTATAGTGCATATATCTATGAATACTATAATAGTGCTTAATTTTATATCCTTTTTTCTCAGACTGTTCAAATGGCTTAATGAGGGAAAGGATTTGTTTTGATGATGATAGATTAGGAAATATTAAATCATTATATATGTGTTCTGATAAAAAGGTATGTGTGCGAGGACTGGGAATGGGGATATTTTCGCAATAATCTGGGAAAGAAAAAAAACAACCAAACCCTGCATGTGTGTTTTGCCTCTTTTATAGAACTCACACAAATACAACATTGATTGCCTGTCAATTCTGAGCTAATGATTTATTCAAGATTGCACTTTGCTAGCTAGTGCTACTTTTGTGATTAAGTATAGCTACTTTCTTACTATACCACAGCAATATGTTTGCTTTTATTGTACCCCATATCCATATTTATTCTTTTTCTCTTGACTTGCAGCTCCTTGCCAAAAACAAACCCCCAAAAGGTGTTTATGTCTATGGAGATGTTGGTAAGTTTCATTCAATGTTATTTTCTCTAATGCATGTCTCTCCAGATTCTGGACTGTCTAAAAGCTTTACGTTTATGTAGCTTAATTGCTTTAATGAATTTTACAGGATTAGTTTTCTTCCACATTATGATGTTATTTAATACAATTACAGTCTGAATCCTGGAAGCTGTTTGATTGGGCCACATTACTATGTGTAGTTTTCAGTGTTACTCATTCCCTAGTATTTAAAAATGCAATTTAAGAATTTGGGAAGTAATTGTGGAGGCCACCAGAGAGAATTCATATATTCTAATTGCAGCAGTGCAGCATGAAATCATACTTGCTTTCCAGAGGAAATACTAAGGATGTTTTCTGGATGTATGTGGAGCCATTTGCGCAACCTTAGGGTTGTCTCTGTAGGGATCAAAATTTTAAAACAGAAGAATAAAAATGCAATTGTTCCAAGGTTTTGAACAGAAAATGTAACTGTTCTTCACAGCAGTCTGGTCTTGTACTTACTCTGAGGAAGACTGTTGTTGAATTAATTCAAAGCTATCAATCATTGTTCTAGTCAGTACGTACTGTACTTAAATTAACTACTGGTTGAGTGCTTTTTATTGTTTTTGTTTGAAGGCACAGGAAAGACAATGGTGATGGACATGTTCTATTCTCACATAGAAGTAGAAAGGAAAAAGAGAGTCCATTTTCATGGTTTCATGTTGGATGTACATCAGAGTAAGTGCAGACACAGGTATTGACAAGAATTTTGTGAAATATGGTGTCTATAAAAAGGTCTATCTCATTCTCATGTTTGTATTAACAACTGTAACTTTATTCAAGTATTTAAGCAAAAAAATAAAAAGGGTGAAAAATAGGAGAAATGTTGAAGCATTTTAGCATTGTCTGTCAGACCAGTGTAGATATTAATTGCTTATTATTTCTCAAATATCTTTTCTGAAAGAGATAAATATATACCTAAAATCCTTAACTAAACGTTTTCCAGTTACCAATTAGCTTATATGAAATCTGAAGAAGGCAATTGCTGAAACTTGAACTGGAAAGGTTAAACTCCATCTGTGTTTTGAATAAACAATAACTAAATCAGGTTTAAATGCCAAGGAGAATGGAAACTATTCTGATTTACTAACTTAGTAATACTATGAGTGATTTGGAGGAAGAAAATAATGGAAAGGAGTTCATCCTAAGTTTCAGAAAATTTTCTGACAGGGTGAAAAGGCACTTTGTTCTGACAGAGATGCTGTTTTAGATATTTTAAAATTTGCTTCTGCTTCTAAATTCTATGACCTTATATGACTGTGAAATTGTTAACTATTGCTGTAATTTACAAGTGTTATGACAGCTGCATTTTTCTTGCGAGGCTTTCATCAGTGTAAACAACCTGAGTCACTTTTAGTGCTCACTTTTCTATCATCACTGGGTCACTCTTGAGATTTTCCATTTCTGTTTTTTGTCATTTGTGCTTAACCTTAACAAAGAAAGCTTCCTACTGCGGGGTCGTTGTTTTCCAACTGTTTGTTTGTAGTCAAATGCAATACAATCCATGAGACAGTAGAGTATGGATATAACAGTCTTACCTTGTGCCAGTATCATCATCTTCACATTTTAAAGCATGACTGTGTTGCTATGTCTGCATTCTTTTAACTAAGTGCATTCTAAGAATACCTTCAGAGCAAGATAAAACTGGGATTAATATCAATTTATAAAAGATAAGGTATAGGTGCATAGCATTCAAGACTTCTTTGATTTTTGTTTTCTGTATTCCTAAACAAAACAAACCAACCAACCAAACAAAAAAAAAATCATAGAATCTGTGAGCTTTTAGTTGTTGCCTGAATGTGGTTGAAAACTCTTTTGCCCTCTTGAAACTAGATGAAGTTTGAAGCTTTCTTATTTTTACTAGACTGGACTAGTTTTTATTTGGTAGCTAAATAATTTTCTTCGTCCTATCTTAGGAAAAGAAATAAGTAATATTTGTTCTTTCCTATCAACTAAGGAATACATCGCCTTAAGCAGAGCTTGCCAAAGAGAAAGGCGGGATTTATGGCTAAATCATATGACCCAATTGCACCAGTGGCAGAGGAAATAAGTAAAGAGGCTGCTCTCTTATGTTTTGATGAATTTCAGGTAAGAAGTCAAAGATTACTCTAGGGCCATCATCCTGTACTGAGTGTGTCCAGTACCACCTGATACTTGCTTGGCATGCCTGGTCTTTGCTGTAGTTCATAAAGTGCTACAAAATACTCTCTGTGATTAAGGATATGTAAATAACAGGTTGGATTCAACCTAAATTCTTTCCTAGAGTTATTGAAGTCTTTGGCATGACTGTGCCAGGTTATATCAACTAGCATTTTAAGAAACTCATTGAATTAAATGTGAAAATTAAAATAAGCTTATAAAATGATCTTTGCACAAGCTAACTTGATTGTTTCATTTTAACAGCTTGTGAATTTCGTTTTAAGGGCACATCACAAACTGAAGTGTAAAATTGCTTTATTTATTAGTAGAGAAGCTAGAGGTATTTGGCAGTTCTAACCAGCTGAGATTTTTTTTAATTTATAGAGAAAATGCAGAGCAAGATAAGAACAGATCTATGTTAGTTCTCAAAGCACTGAGAATAAAAGAATAATCTATTACCTGTAAATTGTCTGTGTTATGCTCTTAAATTAATACATTTCTGAAATGGATGGAGCAACTTATATTTGCTGACTGTTATTTTACAAGCATGCACACCCGAGGAAAATAACTGTTTTGTGATTGGCTCCCATGAAGGGGATTTATTTTGTAAAGGAGTAGTAGTTCTTGTTTTAAGTTACTCTTCCATTTTTCATCTGGGGTTAGTCTTTTGATCTACGGTTTCAGAATTGCAATTGTTACTGTTTGATCATTTAATTTATGCTTTATCTGTTGAATATGAATGCTGGGCTTCCAAAATATAAAATCTTCCTGAATATAAAATCTAAATACAGAGGCAGTTGTATTTATGTTATGAAGAAATGGGAAGGTTTGGAGAGGGAAGCATTAACTCTTATGACATTATATGCTCAAATGGTAGAAAGAGACTGCACTATATATTAGTGTAAATACCTGCTTTTCTGTATAAATGCCCACTGCTTCTGTTTCCTGATATTGCTGTGTTTCCAGACATGTCATGTTTCCACATTTTAAAGAGAGAGACTGGTATTTTTTGTTACCAAATTGGTTGCCTGCTCCCCCTGCTGACTTGCTTGAGGTTTTGTCAGTCCGTCACAGCTGGGAAATTAATACAAGAACTATATTTTTAAAAGTGTTTCTAAGACTTTGCATTCATATGTGGATTTTTAAAATCTACTTGTTCTGGGTGTACTAATTTTCTAAATTCACAGATTTCTGTATGGCTGGATTTCTTGCCTGATTTGCTGTAGCATGGAACTCCGTACAGGTTTTGCCTACTGAAGAGGAGTTCCAGCTTTCTTAAATTTTGCAGAAGGCACTGATTTTGGGATAAGAAGCCTTCTCCTTAAGTAATCATAAAGTAGTGCAGTGACTGGAAGAGCAGCTCACAATAATAATGAGGAGTCATATTTAATCCAGGATGTTTGCAGCTCATTTCCCCAGTGGAGATCATAGCTGTATTTCACTGCAGTCTGATTTACTCATAACTAAAGAATTACTAGATTAAAATGATACTGAAAAGAGCTGGAGACTCAGGACATGTACTGCTCTGACTTGCTGGCAAAGTGACTGTCTTGACAGATGGAAAGTGAAGATGGGCCTGTACTGCTTTGTGAAAATAATTGTGTGTGGAGGCAACATCAAAAAATTACTAAGATTTGCTTTAAACACTTCATGTTGCTTTCAGATGCCTGTTGGACAAAAGAAAAGGAGACAAGCTGAATTTATTTATTTATTTATTTATTTATTTATCTTAAGAACACTTAACAAGTGATGTTGTAAACAGGGACAGCAAAAAAATATTGTTAATGCTCATATTTCAGAGGAAACCAAATGCAGAACTTCAGAAGACAAAAGCCTTGCTTAGGTTGCCATTTTGTCTTTGACAGTGGGCTAAAGCAAAGCAGAAGTATTCGGAAGTGAGTCTTCCTGCAAAGCCTAGAAAACTGTCAAGCAGCTGAAGAATTGACTAACTGATGTAAAAAAATATTTCAGTACTTCTTTTAAAAGTAGTGTTTCTGTGTTGTATTAAAAAAAAAATCAGTATGTTTTAAATGTTTCATTTTGCAAATATTATATAGTAGACAGGATCTTAGTGATGGCACTAAGCTTACATGTCTGTTTTGAAACAGGATTTTGTCAGCATTTTGCCTGAGTCACAGGCTCTCAGATTATTAAAGCATTGCTACTTCTTACTGATCTTTGTCGTGCAGTTTACTGTAAATATTGTCTTCTTTTTTTAATCACAAAAGTCTTAAGCCATTCTAAAAATGTGTCCTCATTTTGAAGAAAAACTCTAGAATTAAGCCATTTGCAGTTATGGTTTTGATGTTTTAAAACACAGAGGTTGGCTAATAAAAAGAGTCCAGTTATTGTTCAGTAATCAAATAACTATACAGGGGTAATTAGAAGGTCTAATTTTGGCATGGAACTGTAACCTATGTCAGTTAGTATTGAAAATGAAAACAGAATCCCTACTTCTTGGGAAGCTGAGTGATCATGCAGTGTTAGTCTTAATATGTCATCAATACCATTTGGATTTGAAGTGAACTACAATTTAGGGAATTTTTACTAACCTGCATTCTATTAAAAACCTCTAATAAAAATTAGGCTCTTATTTTTGTGCTGATACTAATTGCTGATAATACATGCTTACGTTTGCCATTCATTACATGGAACTGTACCAATCAGTGGCTGACTGAATCTCAGGCACTTACACATGTAAATTAACTATTAGTCTAGTGTTTTTCGTTTTTCCTTCTTTTTTCTTCTTCTTTTTTTTTTTTTTTTTTTTTAACCTGAGTTATAATGGGAAGCAACACTATGTAATAAAAATCTTTAAATGCATGAAATTTCTGCACTCTCTCTGTTAGCTGGCTCTCCTTATTGGTAATCTGTAGCCTTTGCTTTTCTTATCCATTGCAATGAGTACTGGATACTGTAAAAAACATGAGAACTCACAATCCTTTAGTTACTGTCTTGCTACCTGCTTTGCCCTGTAGATTTTTTTTGGCTTTCCTAAACTGGATTAGATAAAAAGAGCTCATATTTGCATTCTGGTCCTCAAAATGGCTCTTGCTTTTTGACAGAGCTTTCAAGAAGGTTTTTTGTTGTTTGTGGTTGGTTTTTGGTTTTGTTTTAAATGGAGTTCAGAATTCTGCATCAAATAACAGTTCCTATTAATAAGAGGATGTTATTGTTTTGTTTTATGAGCATTATTATTCTTTCACTCCCTGTTTTCTACAGGTAGCATGCTTTGTAGTATTGTTAAACAAAAAAGTTTGTAACAAAATTACTTATATAATAGATTTTTAAAACTTGGCTTTTAGGCTTGCTTCGTGGTACAGCAAATTCAGTTACCCTTAAGATGCACATCTATAGTGATTTCTTGTGTGTCTTGTTCTTTGGGAATGGGGGAAGTTCCTAAATTTTAGTATTTAGAAGAAATAAATTACTGATAAGTGATGCATAAGCACAGACATATAATACAGTAGAGAGTTACTATATATTTTTTTTTAATATCAGATCTTAGTGAGCAGGGATGTGCAAATCTGAGGGATGTGTTACAGATTATGTAAAATTTTGGTTTTTAAAAAGGAAAAAAAAGTCCCTATTAATGCATTACATAGAACAAAATAGAAGTAGTCTTTGGAAGAAGGAAACTAGTGTTTGGATATTCATTAAGAACATTATTGCTTTCAAACTAGCTGTCAGAAATGTACCCTAAGTCTTTTACTATGTCTAGTGTAGAATTATCTTCTTTTTTTTCCCCAGAAAGGTCATTTAGAAATATGAGAATGAGGGAAGGTGGAGGGGTGTGGAGTGGAGGAAAAAAATTATACTGGTTAAAATATTTCTGTACATGTATTACTGTCAAAGCATACACATCTAAGCTGGTGAAGGCACGGCAACCTGTCAGTCTGTTGTGTGATGAGTATGTGTAACTCACACCATGCCACCACTGGTTTATTTCCTCAGGGTCAGGGCCTGTTTGGTAAGTCAAAAGGCAACAAGTGTCTATATGATAACCACAGGGAATGCAGGAGAATCGAGTGTAATGGTCATAAAGGTGGTTCATGTATTAAGATTGCTGATCTCATCTGGTGGACTCTTATAAAATATGAATTGCTGTTGTAACAAGGATCGTTTTTTATCCAAAAAACTTATTATATTTTTTCATTTGTACAGAGTGGTTTCTGTTTCCTTTTATTTCTTGGTACTAGAAAGCAAGTTTGTTAAGCTAAAATTAAGATCTTTAAAGATATTTTACTTAAAGGCTTATTTTTTTCCTCCGTCTGTCTGTTTTTTTCCTCCTTCCCCCTCCCCAATATCACTTGTCCTACCCATTTTTATTTTTCATTTGTGTTTTGCGCCTGAAGGTTAGAAGAGGCTGACTGTGCTGGAAGTGACTGCCTGCCTTTTGATTATTCATGGACAGTAATAGAAGGCACTTAAAAAGAACAATGAAATTGCTTATTTTTGTGATGGGCCATCTGTTGAATTGTTTTTTGCAACAATCACACAATAGTATCTATGTCATATCATTCTATTTTCAACAGCAGCTGATTATGTATAGTTGGCTACTTGTCTTTATTTCTGAAGTCCCATGACCATTTAAATTCACCTCTGCAAACCTTTGCCTCAAAGGTAATAGAAATGTAAAACAGCCAGTGTGTATTTTCTTTCTGTTTTCTGGTTTTTTTTCATGTTGCTTCTAATTAAGTAGGCCTCTTAAATGTTTAGGTCTGTTTTCTGTGTCTCCCACCTGTAGTTTTATAATAGAAGTTAACACGGAATCATTTAGCAATTGGAAAAGATATGGTGGAGTTCCGCAATAAAGAGTGGGCAAGTTTTGAAAGACTGTGGTACATTCGCTGCTTATTAATTATCCCTTTTATTTTTTTCTCACCAAGCAATAATTAGAATCTCTCTCGAATGGCTTTCACTAACAAGCATTTTTCCTAGCTACAAAGCCACTTGCAGATCTATTGCGGCAGAAGCTGAAAGCAAGATAAAACAAATGCGTTGTCTTCTACAGGTCACTGACATTGCTGATGCCATGATTCTGAAGCAGCTTTTTGAAAATCTCTTCCAAAATGGGGTTGTCGTTGTGGCAACATCTAACAGGCCGCCAGAAGGTAAAAACAAACATGCTACTGGTATTATCCAAATACAATGAATCTCAATATCTTACAAAACAATTGTAGTAATATCATGCAGTATTTAATTAATAAAATGTCTAGTCTGCAAGAATCTGATATATTCTGGTTTACCCCTTATTTTTTCTTGTTCTTAAGGAAGAGAGATTTTTACTAAATCATACTCCCCTTTTCTCTCAAACCCAAGATGTTCCTTCCCCCATCACTCTCAAATCCTTCCGTGTTTTCTGATCTCCTCTACTCTGTCCAAACCAGTGGAAGGGTATTTGGGGACAGGGATGTTGAGGAGGGGTAAAATACTGCCTATTTTGGATGTATTCCAGAATAAGAAAAGACCATATTCTGCAGAAGAAAGGGGAAACGAGAGTACGATCCTTCCCAGTTTCTAACTCAGGAACTTGGAGACTTGATCCACCAGCTCAAAGCAGAACCACTTATCAAGATGCCATTCTTAAAGCCCAGTTTCAGTCCACTAGGAATTACTTAGGTAGAGAGTTGTTTCCATTTCTAACTTTTTTTAGAATAACTAGTTGCTGGTAGTGACTAGCTAGGTAAATCCTTCTACAAAGTGCCCAAATCTGTTTGGGTTTCAACAACTGTAATTTTTTGTAGAGGAGAAAATTTTTCATATAGTGTAGCGTTATGAGTTAGCATAATGGATAATTTCTATGCAACTTTTAGATGGATTACTTTTGGATGTTTTTTAAAAATACTGAAGAGTTGCAGTATTAACTGTGAGTTAATTTTTCTTCCCAAGTTAATTAAGTAAAAGACAATCACTATAGATTTTCCATGCACCTTGTCTTAGGAAAAAGAAAAACAAATCCACTCAAAGGTTTTTAGGTTTTTCCTACAGGAGTCAATAATTCCCTCTTGGTTTATTTTACTTGTTTGATCAAAGAAAATGAAATCATAACTACTGTAGTTGGGTTAACTACAGATAGACGGAATGCCTTCTCAGTTGAGAGCTTGTGTTTTTGGAGCACTGCTCTTTGAAGTCCAGGAGAAATTTTTATCATAACTTGGGAATTATATCCAACACCCTAAACTGAGGGCATCAATTTGTGACCATTATAGTCTTAAAGGGTTTTTGGATGTATATTAAGTCACTTTATCAATCCAAAAGCCAAGCACTTGTTCTAGCTGCCCAACACAGAATGTCAAGAACAGATCTCCACAACTGGACTGTGTTGCAGTCCAGGTGTTGGTCAATGCCTATCTCTTCCCTTGTCATTATTCCTGCATGCTCACAGCGTGTCTGAAATCCTCCCACAGGAAAGAGAGCTGAGTCACTGTACTGTGCCATATCTAGGTTTAAGAATGAATGGAGAGATTTGTTACCTGTAGAGACAAAGAGGAAAAGTGACCTTTTCATTAGAGGGCAGATGCATTGAGCTGCTGAACATTAGTGCTACGCTTAACTGTGTTGAACTTCTGCCCCAGGGGGATATGAAGGAAAATACTGAGGTGCAGCATTTGAGGAATCCTGGTTTCATTTCTCCACTAAAATTACTGTTTATTTTTCTCATCCTCAGAAAACAGAGACATAATACAGAACTCACAACCCTACTGACTAAAAGACCTAACAGGAGTAGCTGTCTAATAGCGTTACATGTTCACTAATCTTTGCAAGTGAATATGCAATTGCTATACACTTTTAACAAAAGTGTAGCCATCCTGATTTGCAGAGTTGTGAATGAGCATGATACACGGCGAACTTACAGCTTTCTTACTAATTAGGGTGTGGAATCTCCTTCACTGACAATTTTCCTAAATATTTCTGCGTACATATCCAATTTTGTGAAAACCGTTCTGTAGGTGTCTTGTTGGTGTCTTGTGCATGCTGCATCTTCTGTCCACAGTGAAGTGTTGGCAAAGCATAAAGGCTTTAATATAGCTGTAGCCTCCAAGCATTATGGGGAATATAAGCCATAATCATAACCTGGAATGGTCTTTGTGTGGAATTTTTGTGGTATCTCTACCAGGTGTCTGCATTATCTTACTCATTCCTCCCGTCAGTCACAGGTGCTTTACTGCCTTTTTATAAGGCTTCCTAATATTCATGAAACAGAGCAGCTCATCATACAGTTCAAGTGGTTACATTTTGAAAGAAGTCATTCTCTTGTGAACTTCTTGGGCAATTGGATAACTTGCAGAGAAGATAAGTTTATGTTGTATAAATATATGGTGATAAATAAGCAAAAAAATGCTGCTCTGCAGTTGTTTTTGTTAATTTGTGTTTTCTTTGAGTCCAGATCTGCATTTTGTTATGTAGTATCTCATCTTTTTAAAAATTCAGTTGTATTTTTAGCAACTTTGCCTAAGTTAACACACTAATTTAATTTTCATTTTTTTAGCCTTAGGGATGACCCTTACTTTGGAAAAGGAGGTATAGCTGGCAGAATTACTAGAAGATAAAGTGTACCACAGTACACCGAGAAAGAATGATGCTGACTTTCAAACTGTGTATTTTTAGTTTATGTGGGGGTTGTGCCCTCTGCCAAATACACGGGATTTAGCAGTTGCACAGTTTGGCCTCATAATCGTACCAATGAATACCCAGCATTACAAATTATTTTTATAACCTTACTTTAAAACAGATGATGGTCTAATTTCTTCTGTTACAATCAGTTGTATGTCATTTAGAGATCTAAATAATTTTTTCATTCCCTACCTTTTTCAGACTTCCTCAAGGTGTTCCTTTCTTCCCTAAGAATGTATTGAATTTTCATATAGTAAAAGAAGAGAAATTAATTTCAGCTCTCCTTTTCTGCCTTTTGTTCCTCCTCCTGTTTCTAGCAACACTGAGATTTATTTGCTAGACTAGAAGACAAGCTGACATTGTTATTAAGACTACATAGCAAAATGGTACTGATTTCCTTTCTTTCAGATCTCTATAAAAATGGTCTTCAGAGAGCTAATTTTGTACCATTCATTGCTGTGCTGAAGGTAAGGAGAGCCACCTGTTAAATGCCTTTCAGTTTTCCCTGTTTTATTAATAAATTGGAGATTTGTACCAGATTGCTTTAATGCTAGTTTCCAGATTACATATATGCTTTAACTATTTTGAGCAAAAATAATTGAAGGTAAGGCAAGAAAGGACTTTGTCCTTCTGGAATTAACATGTCTTGAAAGCCAGACATTTTTAGTATGACAAAAAGTTATCTTTTGGACTAAGGCAGCAGAATTTGTTTGTTTGGATAAGACTTTCTTGCTGACTGGTGTGTGTATGCTGTATAACATAGTATGCCTCTAACATTTGTGTTGTACTCGTGGACATCTTACGGTTACTATGCTACAAAAACTTACCATTTCTTTGATGTAAGGAAAGTAGTGTTTGTTCTGTACCCCTCAATTGCCTTGCTTCTGGGTCTTCCTCCTGTGTCAGTAGGTTTTTGAATGACTTTTGAGGCTTCATATAATGTTCAACAAGCAGCAGCTCTGAAGCTTCCTCGGGTCTGTGTCTTGTAGTGTGGCAGGTCAGAAACTGTAATTGCTTCATTTAAATTAAAAAACTGAGGATCCTTTCTCTGTGTGAATAATACAATCACTGCTTATTTTTCTGGTAAAAAGAACATATGCTGAAATCACACTTTTAAGTTCTGGACAAGTCACAGCTATTTTTCGTTCGCAAGTTGCATTTGTTTTGTTTTGTTATTAAGGGCTAACATACACCTCTCATATCTTGCTCTGCCTGGATTGATGTGACATGTAAAATGGAAATAACATCATTTCTCTAACTCACAGAAGTATTGCTAGCATAAATACATAAATAATGTTAACTGTATTGATCTCTAAGATAAGAGAAAGGTAAGGTAGAGTTTCTGGTAGGCTTGGCTTTGTGATAGGAAATTTGGAATTGCTGAATAGACACGTTGGTTGGATGTTTCTGTTAAGGTGCTCAGCAGTAAAGCAGCAGACAGTGTCTTGGGTTTTCAGAGGAAGTTTACCAACAAGTGCTTTGCTGACCCTAACTGGAAAGTGGAATGGTAATGGCAAGATACTAAAAATTAATTTAAAAATGTCAGAATGTACATTTTTCATTTAACAGTTTTTAGAAGTAGGCATTAAAAACCCACACTGGAATGTTATCTAAAGTAAGATTTTAACAAATTATGTTACAAAGATGTGGATAGAACTACATTGATACTCTGGCTTTGGTGGTTTGAGAAATGCAGATTTAGGCCTCCCCACTGTGTGTAGAATCTGTGTAATGGTATTGATGTAAAAGGATGAAGTAGCTTCTGCCTCAGCTGTGTGTGACTAGGAAATGTAAACATGGTGTCTTCCGGCATTTTGTGTGAAAATACGAAGGAAAATACAACATTGTTTTTTTGCAAACATTTGATTTGTCTTCTCAACCTTTACCTCACTCAAGCCATGTGTGTCTGTGGTAATGTCAATCTCTTCTGACCTCTTCACTGGCACTGGCTTTACCGACAACTGGGACTAATTCCTGTCTTAGTTTTCTCTGGGCTCAGAGCCTCCCAAAGGGATTTTGTTTGGGGTGTAATGGGGGCAAATGGGTGGCTTGGTTTTCTTAGTTTTTTTCAGTAATTAACTTTTATGATCACAAATCTTGAAATGAGATTTTAGCACTAAAAGTAGTTCAAGTTCAACATAGGAGCTTCAAATTCCTTGAAATGATCTTGGGAAGGTGCGATCAATGAAAAGTATTGACAGTATATTTCTGTAAAGAGACGCTTCATTTGAAATAGATTTCAGGTGGTTTCATTCCTCATAAATGGAAGACATAGTTCCTAGATATGGAGGTAGCTTATACAAAAATCTTTTCCTGTCTTCAAATGATCAAAAGAAGTGGTTACTTTCCTAGACGTATGTTCATCCTCGATTGCTGTTTTTCTTTTCTGCAGTCTATGTAATTCCAGTATCTGTGTTTGAGTTCCTATTTTGTACAAAGAAAACTGAAAATCAGTTTCTGTGGAATAATGTAATGTAATGGCCAGTCTTCGCGAACGAAGAACCGGGGAAGGTCTTTCCACCTTCCAGCCTGTGCATTGGATTTTTTTAGGTGAGACACAGTGTGCGCGGAACTGAGCCCACCCTTTAACCCTGAGGTTCATCTGCCAGGGCCAAGCAAGCTTGGACGGTGGCAGCGAGGTCCTCAGGACGTAGATGGATTGCCTTACGGGCTAATGAGCTCCATCTGCCCGGGGAGGGGCCCCGACTGGGAATAAGCATTCTAGGGAAGATACAATTGTCTTCCAGAGTTTGTCTGTATTGTCTTTCTAGGTGGTAGATTACTGGGGACAAGTGGTTGTTGAATGCCTGCAGTGTGAGGTTGCAGTTGATAAGTTCCAGTTTTTAGGGACACATGCTTCAGGTTCCACAGTTGGCGGCCACAGAAGAGCTCCAGATCTGTGTTGTTGGGTAGGCCAGTAACACTACTGTCAGCTCTTTCTGACCTGTGTGTGTTCCCTGTCTAATTCTGAGTCTATCCCAGTGTTCTCATCTTTTGAAATCTTAAATAATTTGAGATGTAGTTTTTCAGCAATTTTTAATCAAAGAGGTAGTTTTCATAAACAGGAGAAAACTCTGAATTGATCAGTTCATTGTTATGGCTATGTCCTAGTTACAGGGACTGGGAACAGTTTATCACTATGTGGGTATAACCAAAACTGTGTGTTCTACACCCTCTGTGTCATTTCCAATGGACTGTTAGTAATGAATCATTTGGAGCAGCTGCCCAGGGCATACCTGACACCTCAGGCTACAACCTGGGTGTTAAAGAAACCCTGTGAGGAGTGTTTCTTTTGTTTTCACACTAATAACTGTGGTAACAGCTGTGATAACTCCCCTCCAGGGAGGCATCAGCACCTTCACACCCAGCCTGAGGGGTCATGTCTGCTAATGGGCCATACTGGACTGGCATAATAGGCAGCTGCCAAGACCTAGACCATTAAAGACTCCAAAAGTATCCCATGACTCACAGAGTTAAATCACCCATTGTGAAACTCCCCGCCCTGGGGGAGGTACTGGGCTTTCCCACTTGAATGTGACCATATATAAACTCTGGGTTTTGGGACTTCCAAGAAGATCTCTCTGGAGAGCCTCCTGGTTCGGCCCTGTCTAAAAGACGGATTACAACCACAGGTATAAAAAAGAAAAAGAAGGGTAGTTGTAGTCGGTGACTCCCTTCTGAGGGGAACTGAGGGCCCTATATGTCGCCCAGACCCATCCCAGAGAGAAGTATGCTGCCTTCCTGGGGCCAGGGTGAGGGATATTAGTAAGAGACTTCCTGAGTTAATTCAGCCCTCAGACTATTATCCACTGGTGGTAGTCCAGGCTGGCAGTGAGGACATTAATCAAAGAAGTGCCAGGAC